TACAGGTGCCCGCCACAATCCCCGGCTATTTTTTGTTGCAGTTTGGCTGAGGCCAGGTTCAAACCTACCACCCTCAGTACATGGGGCCGGCGCCCTACCCACTGAGCCATAGGTGCCGCCCTGGAGACAGGGTCTTTAAAGAGGCAATTCAGTTAAAGTGATGTCATATGGGCAGATGCTGATGCCATATGATTGGTGTCCTTTATTATAAGAGATTAGAACACAGAAACTCATGGAGGAAAGAAAGGTAAAGATACAGCGAGAAGAAGCCTATCTACAAGTCAAGAAAGGGGCCTCAGGAAAACCCAGAGCTGCTGTCACCTTGATCTAAGATTCTAGCCTCCAGGACTGTCAGAACAAATTTATGTTATGTAAGGTAGCCAGTTTGTAGGATGCTGTCATGGCAGCCCAAGCAAAATAACATACCTTTCCTGACTTTTATACCCTAAGGTTGAGTGCCATGGCATCATCATAGCTCACAGTAACCTCAACCTCTTGGGCTCAAGCGATCCTCTTGCCTCAGCTTCCCGAGTAGCTGTGAGTACAGGTGCCTGCCACAATGCCTAGAAAGTTTTTTTCTGTTTTTAGTAGAGACAGGATCTCACTATTGCTCAGGCTGGTCTCTAAATCCTGAGTTCAAGCTGTCCACCTGTCTCAGTCTCCCGGAGTGCTAGGATTACAGGAATAAGCCACTATGCCCAGCCCTGTCCTGACTTTTAACCAAGAAGAAGTTTAAGAGTTTCTTTGATTTGTATAGAAATCAGTATAGTTTGATACTTACTCTTCCCACATTCCCTAGGGCTGCATACCTGGGTCTCCATTGAGTTGGCCTGGTGGTCTGCTTGGGAGCCCCAAGCCCTGTGCCAGGGCCATGGACTGGGCATCCTGGCTCTTTGCAAGATCACTCTGAGACTCCTCTGGCAACTGCTCCTGCTCCTGGTCCAGAGTGCTGTCCCCATCATCAATCACCACGGGGTCTTCACAGTGCTTGAGCTGCAATCCCAGAGAGTTTTTCAAGGCTAGGTATTGAGGTACCCTCCTTCTCCAGGCCTGTTGACCATCACCTCCACAGTTGACCACCAAAGGCTCAACCCTGGCCTTAATTGGGATTACAGGGAGATGACACAATCATGCCTAAACAAGAGCCTTTAGGGAGTTAAACCTGCTTTGTTAGGAAACTCTAGTCTGGGCCTAACACAGGTATGTGGCTCTACAGAATTCCTCATCCCTGGACACCAGTTGTATGACCCTGCCAAAGGATTTGAGCATGGGGCAACCCAGCCCAAGTCATTCCTAGACCAGTCCCTCTACTCACCCACTGCCAGGGTCTCCCTGGCTCCCGTTCCAGCGTCTCCACGGCAGCCACAGCCTGCTCACCACTCTCTGGCTCCTGGGCCCGCACCCAGCTCTGAATCTCCCGGGGCAGGATGGCGAGAAATTGCTCCAGCACCAGCAGCTCAAGGATCTGCTCCTTGGTGTGCCTCTCGGGCCGTAGCCAGCCCCTGCACAGGTCCCAGAGGCGGTGCAGGGCTTCCCGGGGTCCTGCTGCCTCCTGGTAGCGGAAACGGCGGAAAAGGCGTCGGGAAGACTCAGGGCTGGGAAGCTCCCCCTGGGGGCTAGTGTTCTCTCCAGGTGGGCTCCTCATTTTCCGGGGCTCCTCACTTTCTTTCGGAGCCAAGACTCGGGGGCACAGGGCTGTGGGCATGATGGGATTTGATGGGGGTCAGCAGCAGAAGACGACCCTATTTCCAAACAGAAATCACTGGCTTCAATACTCTGGTCTTCTTCAGTCGTTTGGGGGTGGGGGTAATGCCAGGGAAAATGACAAAGCCCACAGAGACTAGCCCTTTGGAAAAGCCCTGGGAAATATAAGAAGTGTCAGTGTGGTTAGCCTATACACATGAGAATGGGACAGACAGAAAGACGCCCATTTCCCCCCCTCCCAATAGTATCATTACACGTGGATGCCCCTAAATGGGTGACCAGATGAACAAAGCAGGAAATCTAGGAGAAAAGTGGTGGCATTTCAACATGACATTGGTATTTTAAGCATCCCACGAGACCAATAGGGCCACATATAAGAAACACACAATTAAAACTCTCTGGTACCTTTGTTGGCCAGGTCCTCTTGGAGAGGACCTGACATAGATGTGTCAAGCAGGCCACTACCTTGAGGCTTTGGAGCCAAAGTCACCTTCCTTGCTCTTAAGACCTTTACAAATTGAGCTGTAAAAACAAAGCACATGTGCATGAGAAGAGCCTTTAAAGTGCATCCAGTCATGGGAAATTTATCCTGCTGGTTGAGGACTGCTGGTGCTGCATGCTGGATGGTAAATAGTCAGAATCAAGCCTCTCCCAGCAGAGCCTGCACAGGGAGGCACATGTAAGAAGACACCCAGACATAGATCAGGAAAGCCACAAGAGGAAGCCACACGCACTTTACCAGAGAGAAATAACAGTGTAACAATGTTTAACATCAGTGCTTTTTGTTGCTGCTGTTGTTGAGACAGAGAGCCACACTATGCCCTGAGCAGAGTACAATGACGTTATAGCTCACTGCAATCTCAGACTTGGGCTGTAGGCATTCCGCTGCCTCAGCTTCCAGAAGACACTGGGATTACAGGCACTCACCCAGGTGCCTGGCTGGATTTTTCCATTTTTTTAGGGGTCTCACTCTCGCTTAGGCAAGTCTCAAACTCCTGAGCTCAAGCAATTCTCCCTCCTTGGCCTCCCATAGTGCTGAGATTACAGGCGTGAGCCACTGTGCCCGGCAACAGTGCTTTCAATGAACATTCTAACTCACTTGAACATATGTACAGCAAACTTTATTATACACTTAAAGACACCTTGACCTTCATCCTTGTCTCAACCTTCTTCCCTACCACTGCTATCTTCAAACCACAGGCAAGGAAGGCAATGGCTCACACCTCACAGACCTTCCCCAGCCAGGGTAGAAAGAAGTTAGCACTCACGGCACAGCTTTCAGCCCTTACTGGGATCCTGGACACCACAGGCCACCATATACATCCCCACAGTTGGAGGCAGGGGTTCCTACATCTCCTAGGCTATTGTGCAGACAACCCAGACCACATGCAGAGAGTATGCCTGATTGCTGTTCACTTATCCACACTTTGGGACACAGGAAAAGTGACAGGGCAGATGGGGACACACAAGCACCATTGGTGTTTAAGCATCCCAGGAGCCTCTTTAAGCATCCCATTAAAGCCTCTGAGATCTCTTGGCACAGCCACTAGCTCTCCACACCCCCATCTGCATTAGGTTCTCCAGCCTGCCAGCACCTAACCTCCAACAGGTCACAGGTGGAGATGGGGCGGAAGTCAAGTGATGCCAGAAAGGCTACAAAGCAACTGAGAAAAAACTAAGTCCCTCCACCTCTGCTTTTTCAAAGTAAAGACAAAATACAGACACTGAAGAGGACTCTGAAGGAGTCTGGTGGACCCATTCTAGCTCTCCTCACAACCAAAATCCCTTCCACAGAGGCTTCTGCACGTGGAACCCCGTCTGGGCCCCACCCACTCTCCTCTCCTGGCCCCCCGGCTACCCCTCACACACTCTCAGGGTCCTTGATAACTCAGGTCTGCCTCCATGCTGAGGCACCCAGGGCCCCACCCTCAGCATCTCAACCAGACAACAGTGTTCCTCTTTGTCACTCAGGCACCTGGCACGTAGGAGGCTCTGAAGATGCCTGATGAATGAACTAACGCTAGTTAGGGGAGGGTTCACTGCAGGGGCGGAGCTTACTTAAAGCAGTTCTTGGAAGAGGGACAGAGCAAGAGCTGCAGAAAGGAAAAGAGGAGGGCATTTTAGGCCAAGGAAAGGGGGACGCGCTCTCTTTCTTTCTCTCTTTTTCTCCCTCTCTAACACACCCACACGTATCTCTGATTTACCCGACTCCAGGACTCTCACCTCACAGCCTGGGACTCCTTCCTAGCGTCTAACTCAGATCCCTCCTGCTGCGGCGGAAGTCCACGGCAGCAGCTCCTCATCCTTCCAGCCGAGTCTCCCGGGTGTCCCCGTCGAGGCCGGGTCTCTGCAGGGGCCCGACGACTCCTTTTCTGGCCAGTCCAGACCTCGTCTCCTGATCATCCAGAAAAGCACGGCTGGGCTCGGAAGCAAATGGAGGCGCCTGAAAAACAATTGTGTCGCCTCGTCCCCGGCCCGCACGTTCGCGATCGCTCGCCTCCGGGCCGGGAGGCGGCGCCGGCAGAAGCCAGGGCGCGGGCCGGGAGACCCGAGCCCGGCGCGCGGGCCGTGGAGGGGGCGGGGCCGAGCGCCGGGAGCCGGAGCCCGGCTGCACTCACCGCCTCGGCGCGTCCCGGGTGGCGGGCCGCTCAGGCCTGGCCGCCGCCGGAGCCCGCCGGACACCGAGGAAAGGAAAGGCCGGAGCCCTCCGGCTCCCTCCCCTGGGACACTTCCTGCTCCGCTCTAGGACCGGGGAGGTCTCGGCATCTCAGTGGTTCGCTCCTCCGCCCCCCGGCCGAGGTGTGCGCGGGGGGTGACATCCGACACCCCCG